TTTTTTTTTTGTGTAGTGAAAATGAGCAATGTATTGGAGAGTGTACAACAGAGTTGTTAGATAGAGTTGAGAAAAATGCCAATGCAATGCAAGAGATAGCTAATATTTGCATTATTGTTAGCATAATTCAGGATAAACGAACTATTATGCAATAAAGCACCTATAGATTACAAAAAACACTGGTGGGTACCAAAAACCCAACCAAAAAAAAAGGTACTATTAACAGAATAAAGGCAAGCGAAGAGGAATAAAGACTAAAAAACTTCATATGCAGTACTGTGAACTTTAAAAACAGTGACTCGAATTAAAAGTTACAGATTAGAATAAGCGAGAACAAATTCTATTATGACTTCCAAGGTATCGAAACCTAAACAATTATGCACTTGACGACAAAAGAATCATCACCCTACACACAAATTTTCAAAGTGAAGCAGGCATAACGATTATCCAATCAATACATTTTTCAACAAATATGCATACTTCCAACTGAAATGACATACCAAAAGTCACTATAAATAAAAGTATGACATCTTATAACATAAGCATCCATTTTTGTTAAAAATGCATGACGGGTCGACCCTAATAACTGTTAGACCGGCTCGCACAAGAATTAATGTTTTTCAAATCCATTGGATGCCTTACTAAAAAGTATATAGTACGAAATAAAGCACGACCTTGTTAATACTGGGCACTAGTTCTTGCAAAGCCCTTACTCGTTCGGCTATTCTTTCCCGACGCAACTGCAGAAACCGAAGAAAAGAATCGATACTCACATTCTAATTTCATTAACTTTGCGCTACCAAACATGGAATATTTTCGTACACCATGCAAGAAAGATAAAATAAAATAAATGCCAATAGCTATTGTCATGAATACCCTCTCGGCTATGCTGTGTGGATCGGTTGCTTGGCCTCGTCTAGCTCGTATCTTGGGTCGAACTGTGGATGGATTCGGCCCTGCTTGAAGTGTCTTCACCTTTTCCTGTCCATGAAATCACAGTGGAAGTTACAAAATACAAAACAAAGAACAATAAGGACTATATTAACATCATTTCAAGCTTCAAATTGTAAAAAAATAAAAATAAAATGGGAAACTTCCCAAATATTTTTTACCTGTTTGATAGAAGAAGCGCGGGAACCACCAATCACGGTATGAGTGTTCCCGCCAACAAATCTTCCATCCTCTTTCTCTAAGCTCAATCCCAGCGGCAAACCGCCGCCGCCGTAACCGGCACCGAGGTGGGACGAGCCGCCGCCGGAGCCGAGATTCAGCATCATGGCGGCCGCCACCGGGGGCTCGTTTCCGGCCATATCAGCACCGAATCCGGCAGAGGCATAGGTCGGAAACCCTAGAAATTGCTCGAGGAAGTCGATTGAGGAGGAATCGCCTTGATTGTTCGCCATTTTTTATTTTTGAACAAAAAATCTGAAGGTGCTGCACCTTTGACTGATAAATTTATGTATATAACGTCTCAATTTTGCCGAGTAATATATTTAATCATGTCGTTTCGAAAAAAAAAAAAAAAAGGGTTAAAGAGTAAATAGTAACTTCTGACTGATAAATTTATTTATTTTTTCCTCCATTTTCAAACCGGGTCGGGGCAGGCCAGCGTTGACCCGTGGACCTCCAGGTCATCAGGTAAACTGCATTTAACTAGTCGCAGTCGGTGCCCTTTGAGTAAAAAACCCAAAAACACGTTAATTGACTCGCGAGTCAATACGAGTCGCAATCGCAAAACACTGAAAACGTATATACTTTTTCTTAAATCCAAAAATACGTTAATTGACTCCCGAGTCAACACGTTAATTAAAAAAGGATTTTTTTTTCGAGGCCCTCGACCAAACTTGTTTGTTGCGCACTTTCGGTACGCGTGACATTTTTGCAATGCATTTTTATCAAATGTAATACTTTTTCTTGTTAACACTTTGTCTTATGTACCCGGGATAACAGTAATGTTCTCCTACCCATTGTGGGTACATGTTAATATGCTCACTGTTTATGTCACATGCACACATTGATGATGTATTTTTTTGAACATATTAATATCACTAATGTGTGCATGCTACATAAACGATGTGCATATTAACATGTGCCCACAGTGAGTAAATGAGCATTACTCTCGAGTAATCAAGAAAAGTTAATTTCATTTTGTAAAGATTACTACAAGCAACATGATCCCACTCTTCAATAACACTTCTTATTAACACAGTAACTAATCAAATATGTAACCTTCAATTTCTCAAACTCTCACTTTTATCCAAAAAAATTAACCATTAGTACCAATTAAGCCAGCAAACTTTATTTAAGAGAATATTTCGCACAAATGCCATATGGAAAAAGAGACTAATTTTCCTTAAAAGAATGATATATTTATATACTCACTAAAGATGTAAATTAATCAAAAGCTAGCTCAACTCATTAACTAAATGATCTTTAAACACACTTAAGCTCAGCTTGTTTATGTAGACAATCAAGCTCAAGAGCGACTTCATTTAATAGCTTCGAGTTTCAAATTCAACTGTCTCATTTCAAAACAACGCAAGTTTAGAGTATAATGACATATCCACTTGAGCAAAGCATATGCAATTTGTTAGTATTTTACTTTTTCAATTATCTTGGATTATATATAAACAAGATAACTATAAAATGGTCCACGTGTTTCTATTTATAAAGAGTATAAATACGGTTAATCACCTTAATCCATACGATCAAACGGTTGATTTTAATTAGACATGTTAAATGGGCTAACTCTAGTGGGCTTCAGGCTAAACGGTCCGAACATAAAAAACTCGAACTTAAACGAGCTATCAATAAAGGGACCTAACCCTAACCTTAGCGGACCTCGGGCTAAACGGGCTATATTATTATTAGTATTATTATTATTATTGTTGTTGTTATTGTGATTATTATTAACAACAACAACAACAACAACAACAACAACAACAACAACAACAACAACAACAACAACAACAACAACAACAACAACAACAACAACAACAACAACAACAACAACAATCATAATTATTGAATCTAACTTAAAGATTCAATTATCAGTTAAACTATTTTATTTTGTATATATGTATATTTTTAACGTAAAATTAAATTTGAAGTTAATCTAACTTAACTTTGCTCAATATTATTAATATAATTAAATATCATTAATAAACTATTTCCACAATTTTTTAAAGTTAATTTACAATTCATCAACTCACATATTTTAATATAAATATCATTTTAAATAAACTATCTTGAATTTTAATTATCATATTTTAAATATTATTTAAATTCAAATTTAAATTAATTTTATTTAAACTTAACTAATTCTATCCACAGTAAAAAAAAAAACGGATATTGTTTGTGTGCAAGTAAATTCCTCCCTATTGAAGAAAGAACGGTGTGTTCCCTTTCTACCAGTCAACAGTCTAGGGTTCATCCATGAACAATCGAAGCTCGTCTTCCTCTTTAATCACTCAGCTCTGTGAAAATATATTCTGGAAATTGTTATACGTCGTCGTTTTTCTCTCCATTTGGGGAAGAATGAGGTCTTCTTCCCAATCATCCTGTGTTATCCCTATCGTATTGAGGTAAATTACAGCTATGTTTATTTAATTTTTATTCTCTTGCCTGAGTTGTAAATGATGTAAACTGAATTTTTCATTAGTAGAAGTGCAGAATATTCTAGCAATTAACTTATTTTTTTTTTTATGAAAGAGTTTTGATTTACGTGTTTTAGTTGATGCTTTAATTAGAATAATATGATTGTGTAGACATTAAATTTTTTAAATTGAAAAAAAAATCATTACTGTTGTTAGGTGGAAGAGTTTCCAGCTGAAGTGATTTGGAAAGATTGGATGTAACAAAAGAATGGTGAAGAGGTGATGAAGAATGTGTTTGACGGTAAAGCGAAGATTCTGTAGCATATATGGATTTCCCCTTATGATCATGGTAATTTTTTGTGCATTTTCATCGAATTTCATGACCGTACAACGGAGTTTATGAAATTATTGCACGGATATTTCTTTGTTATATTTGTTGAGGTGTTTTTGCTGCTTCGTTCATTCGAGGCCATACCAGCTGTTGGGGACATGTTTACCATAGAAAAATGGCCCAAGAATAGTTAAATTTACTATTGGTGAAAAGTCGAAGGCGAATGACCTTATTATTCTTTAGTATGAAGAGATATTTTAGAAGTGACGAATTAAAAGCGAGTCGATGATTGTTGATGCTATGTTTTTTTATTTTGGATTAAAATAATTGCTGTATGCTTTTTCATTTTCCTTGGAGAAGTTATATGTTTCCAACAGTTTTGAAATCTGTTAAGTATGTATATGATGTTTAATGTGTGTTTCACATTCTCAATTAAAGTATATTCACTGAAGTTATTTTGCTATACTTGCTGTGTAAGTGAAAAAA